CACCGTGGGACACCCTGTATAGTCCGAGGTTCTTCACTTCATCGGCCCATTCAATTGCAACACCGTTAAGGGTAATATGGTGAGAAGATAAATCAATATCGGTCCGCGAAAACAGTATAGCTTGTGTTTTGTTGGGATTTATAAGAAGAGAATTATCAGAAGTCCATTCTGATATATTTTGTAGATCTACATTGATCATTTCAATAGTGTCAGAAAGATCAGCCGGGGATGTTGGAAGATAAATTTGAAGGTCATCTGCATACATGTGATATTTACAGTGAGATATTCGCTCTACAAGATCTGATGCGAAGATTGTGAAGAGAAGTGGACCGAGAATAGATCCCTGTGGTACTCCCCGCGTCACAACTCTCCAATCAGACAGAATCACTCCTTCAACCCCAGCCAGTCTAACTGCCTGCTGTCTCTCACAAAGGTAACTTCTGAGCCAGTCCTTTCCTATTCATTTTTGTTGCTAAATCAACACAGTACCAATATTGGGGTAACATTAGTTTTAACTATTTGGAAAAAATATTTAAAAATAATCTTGTACCAATATTGTTTCCATAGATTAATTAACTTTTCAGTAATTTGAATATTGGCCCAAGACTTCTCACTACAATATTGATTTATGAAATATTGGCCAAATATTACATTTTATACACTGGCCAGCAAAATTAACACACCACTACTATTTTTGAAAAATATTTTTTATTTCATAATTTTGATCAAATATTTTTATGTCTTGATTAAATATATTCTTATTCTGACCTAATAAGGGTATTAACAAAAGATAAAATTCCAAAAGAAGGTGAGAAAAAAAAAACAAGAAATTTCAAAAAATAACTATTTTAGGCGACTGTCACAAAAAGATCCCTAAAGTATATCTTTTTTGGCCGCATTTACTTTACGGCCGCATTTACTTCACGGCCGCATTTGCTTAATTACTTTACGGCCGCTTTTACTTCACGGCCGCTTTTACTTTACGGCCGCTTTTACTTTACGGCCGCTATATACTTTGGTGAAAATATATAAACAGACAATCGAAAACGCGGTCCGTAACTATCAACACAACCAATAAATAGTTAGCAACCACAATGGAACCAAATTTTTGATTTTAGCCCTATTCTATTACTTTTTTAAAAAAGCACAATATAGGATACCATGCGAAAAAGTCGGCAATTTTCTATAATCACACTTCCTTTATTGTAGTTTTTGTTACTAATAATTATGTATCTGCCTATCTTTGCTGGATTATTTATCTAATCAATAAAAAGTTAGAGCTACTGTTGAATTTTCGCCTTTTTTCAAGAACAAACACTCGCCTAAAAAATTTTGTGTGCACCTCGGCCGAATGATCTTTTTTGGCCTCACAAAAAAGATCAAATTTACGGCCTTGGTACACAAATAACTATATTTACATTGGTGTAGATTAGGCCGGTTATGTTTTATGCGGTTTTCACAGCTTTTTTGCAAATTTTTGTGATATTTTGTTTTAAAAAAATTAAAGTAAAGTGTTTATGTTCCAGTCTATGTGGTCTTTTATCCAGAAGTTTGCTAGGTTTTTCTATAAAGGGTTTTTCCAACAAAAATCAAAACCAAGTGTCACAAGAACAAATATATAAGTAAGGTTCGTTTCACCAGGGTTCATACTTGACCTTGAAACTTGAAAAAAAAGGATTGTCGTAAATTAATTCAATGACACATTCAATTTTTTTGACAAATTAAAATGAATGACTTTTGGTTTAAGAACCGACGAACGTTTTTGACGTCATTGATTTGTTTCAGTCAATTTTTATTTGTTAAACAAGGAAGGCAAATGCTGGTGGCAAGTACAAACCCTGGTGAAACAAACATTATAGTTACTCTATAATTCAATCTATTTTCCTATCAGATCTTCTCTTTTAACAACATTAATCAATTTTTCTCTTCTTTCTTGAGCTAACAAATCAAACCTCCCATTGTTATTTAAAATTGATGGAAACCTATGGAAGGATATTGTATCCCATGCGCTATACTGCCAGAATTAACAACTAAACAAACTCTAGGCATGTCCAAGAAACTTCTGGACCACACAGAAGGTATAATTGAAAAAATCTAACTGAAAACCTAAAAAACCACTGTAAATATATCTTTGTTTTACCTCAAGGCGCCTGTCAATAGTGTCAAACTGTCAGATCGTGTACTTGCCCTATTGAAATGAGAAAAAATATACCTGGCGTCTCATTTAAAATAAGAAAGTTCTGGTCACTTCCGGTCAAAACGGAAGTGATAATAAATAATTGAATACGCCAAATAATGCAACTTCGGGTCATAAATAAACACACCAAATTTCATTTGTTTATTTGGAAAAATAAAAAAGTTATAGGGGTGAGCGGGTTTTGAAAAACATCCGGTATATATGAGGGGTTCAAAGTAAAAGTGGTGTAAGTCAATCTATTATCAATTTTTGTGTAATTATTTCAACAATAGGATAAAATAACTATACCAATCAAAATAAAGAGTATAATACAAGTTATAAACATTGAAAAAACAAACAAATAAATGTTTGTATTGCAACATTTTTTATAAAACTGAAAATAACCTTTGAAGCCTAATTACAGAAAACAATAAATTTTAACTTACGCCACTTTTGCTCTGAACCCCTCATATATCTGGGTCATGTCATTAAAATGAGAAAGGAAAACCAAACGGCGGAGATAAAACGAAGAATAAAACTGAGATGGATAGCATTTGGAAAAATGATTCACATAATGACAAATCCTGACATCCCTATAAACCTTAAACGAAAAGTCTTTAACACATGCATCCTGTCTGTCGCATATGGTCTTGACTCTTGAGGCAAAGGCTTTAACCCGGAAGTACACCAACAAGCTTAGGACAATGCAAAGGGTCATGGAACGGGCAATCGTTTGCGTTAGTTTACCAGATAAAATCCGTAACGAAAAAATAAGAAGAACGAAGGTAGTGGACATAATACAGCGAATTTCTGAGCTTGAGTGGCAATGGGTTGGGCATGTTGCCAGACTGGGTGTGGACAGATGGGTAACAAAACTTGTACAGGGTTATTGGTTATAAATGTCACCCCCCTCTATCTTTTTTATTTGACATTTTAGAAAAAAGTGTCCGAAATAAAAGTTTTATGGTTGAAATTGAATTTTTTGAAAAACTCACTTTCGCATATACCTACAGGGTGTTTCAGAAATGCTGCTCCAACTTTCTTATTTTAAATGGAATACCCTGTATATTATTGAATAGTTATATTCAATAATATACAGGGTATTCCATTTAAAATAAGAAAGTTGGAGCACGACCAGCTTTTCTAAAACACATATTATGCGAAAGTGAGTTTTTCATAAAATTTAATTTTAACCATAAAACTTTTATTTGGGACACTTTTTTCTAAAATGTCAAATAAAAAAGATAGAGGGGGGTGATATTTATAACCAATAACCCTGTACTCTGGAGACCACGTCAAACAAAGAGGAGCGTCGGCAGGCCACAGAAGAGATGGTTGGATGATATTAAAAGAATAGCAGGAGGAAGTTGGTACCATACAGCGAAAGACAGAACAGCATGGAAACAAATGAAAGAGGTCTTTGTTCAGGAGTGGACAGGAAATGGCTGAAAAAGATTAGGAGGACGGGTTAGTTTCAATTCAACCCTTGGATTAGCTCTTTTCGTTTACAATTTCACCATACAAAGACTAGCATACATTACGAAGACGGGTTAGTTTGGGTTAGCTCTTTTCGTCTAAATTACCAACATACAAAAAATAGTATTCATGACGAGGACGGCTTAATATGAAATAGCTCTTTTCTTCTAAAATACCAACATACAAAGACTAGCACTTGCCACTTTGTATGAGGACGGGTTACTTTGGAATAGCTCTTTTCGTCTAAAATATCAACATACAAAAACTAGCACTTAGTATGAGGACAGGTTAGCTCGGATAAGCTCTTCTCATCCAAAATACCAACATACAAAGACTAGCATTCATTACAAAAGTACAGGTTAGTTTGTGTTTAATTGTCTTTGAAACTTGTGGACTGTATATTTTTCTTTTTGTTCAACTCAAATTCGCTAAATTCTGAGAGGAAAACAGACAACATTTTGAAACATTTCATTAACTTATTGAGTAACAACTCATCAACTAAAAACCTAAAAACTAACTGGTGCTAAAAGATACATTGTTTTCAAAAGCAACTTGAATCAAACACAAATGTCGGGCTTTAACAGTTTGACTTAGTTTGAATCGGACCTTTTAGTCAAAAATACCAACATACAGAGACAAGCACTCATTACGATTCATTTCGCAACGGTGTCTCGAGCTCGCCGTATTCTTACGACTACAGACTCTTGTAATCCTACCAGTGTGTATCTCAAAAATATTAGGTGTTACTGGGGTGATTGAAGCAGTTTAAGGCAGGACCATAACAACGCAAGCAGGAATATTTTGGAGTGATCCTAGTCCCAATGTGTTGCCAAGCCAAGGGTAAAGTTACCAACCATAATGGAAATCCCTATAAGTATCTCGACAGAGTGCGATTTGAGGCAGGACCATAGCAACACAAGTAGGAACATGTTTGAGCGATCCTGCTTCCAGTGAGTTGCCTAGGGTGAAGTTAGCAACCAAAATAAAAATCGCTGTATCTCGAAAATAGTATGTGTTGCCGGGGTCAGATTTGAAACAGGATGAGGCAGGACCATAGCAGCACAAGCAGGAATCTGTTTCAGCTATCCTGCTTGTCAAGGGTGAAGTTAGCAACCAAAATGGAAATCGATATATTTCGAAAACGATGGGTGTTGCTGGGTAATGTGACATTACCAAATTCAGTAATGTCAAGATTACATAATGGTTGATTACACAAAGCTAGTCTAGAATGTAAATCATTAAAAAAATATTACAAAAAGCAAAGTTTGCATGTAGGTAACACTGTAACAGTAAAAACCATGATTCTCAACATCTTCACTCAAAATTTTCTACAAAAAAAGACACTTACCCAATTCTAGCGCATAGACTTTTACTAAGTTCATATTTGGCCCTAACAATCCGATTTCTGTCATCCATAAGCTTCTGATGACATATCTTGATCAACTCTAACTGTTTCATATGCGTCTCACACAAATCTGGCAGAATAGATGTGTCTTTCATATGGGATGCACTGTTCTGGTTCTGTAAAAAACTCTGCGCCATATCAGATTGGTGTTCAACATATTTCTTGATTTTTCTTATTAGTTCCTGCAAGTCGAACAATCGTTTCCCTAAACCCTCGATTTCTTTACGTTCAGGTTTTTCTGCGGTTTGTAACGTATCAAAAATTTGTTGTTCTAGTGATGGCATGATTCCTTTTTCGAATTTATTCAAATTGGATTTGCAGAGTTCATAAAGTTCGTCTAGAGAATTTTTCCTGTCCACCGATGAGATCCATTCATATAAACTAATATCTTTACTAGCCTCAGTTTCTGACGTGCTAGTTGCGTTTTCTGAAAATCTAGAACCTTCTAGAAGTTCTTTTTGGGAGTCTAATAAAGCATCTAATACAGGTATTCTTTGTAAAGTCTTCTTGTCTTCAGCAAAACTAAACAAATAAGAAATATACTTATTATGCATGCGCGGCTAAAGAAAATGTTATAGATACCTACCTTAACAGAAAATTATCATAAGCATCCCGATCTGCAATAAAGTCCTCATACATTTTTAGGAATAGCTCCCATCTTTTCCTAAATTCGGTAACTATATCTTCTAAATTAGCTATAACTGCTGACCAACCTTAAATTTAAATTTAATTAACAATTTCTAGTCAACTTTGGAGGAAAATAAATACCTTGCTGTTGTAAATGCTGATCATGCACCATACTCTCGCAAAATTCCAATTGTTCCTTAGCTACACTAAAAAAATCTTGAGCGACAAGAGTTCTGCTTCTTACAGTGGACAATGATACAGGTAGAGATAAGCAGTCTAACAGTCTCTCTTTTAAATCTTGATTATTGAAAAAAACAATACATACAAAACATTTGTGATGTTAGAATATAGGCTTACCAGTATCGTCATAGTTAAGACTTTTCAACGTATCTAATTTTGAAATGTCATAATTTGTGGAGAACAAATAAATGGGATTAGTGTCGGTACCGGCCATATACGAGCAGAGATTTTTATGTGTGTCCAAAGCTTCACCGCCATTAATGAGCAGCACTTGTTGTTCCAGCGGGATTTTGCATTTTTCATTAATTTTTTCTTTCAGATCTCCAACACTGAAATTAATAATCATTATTTTCATTGATTTTCACAACCATGAAGTGTGTATTATATTTCTTGTAAATACTTTTGAGTGGTTGTTGAAATATTATTATTTGCAATTGAAGCTTAAACTTGGTAAACATATTTCAGGGTTAACAAACAAGGTTTTTCAGATAGAGTTTTTTATACTCTCTAAAAGGTAAATAATAAATCAAATCGATGTAGGTTTTCAAGTTTTCAAAAGTCAAGCACTGTCCATTCAAACTCAGCAGAATAAGAGATGGAAAATGGCAACAAAAAAAGGGATGTTTCATTTGGAACGTTTTTGTCCAGAAATCAGATATTTACTTCAGCAACTAGGTCATGAGCGCGCTTCGCGCGCTTTTTTTTTAAATCAAGTCCATCAAAATAATTATAAAATGGAAAATATTTATTAGGTGTTGTACAAAAAACAGCATAATTTTTGATTTAAATGTACATTATACATTAAATGTAACAGTGAGATAAGTTGTATAGATGTTATTCTAGTGAAGAAATTTCAAATGCGATGGATGGAGTTGGTGACTAATTATTTTTGTATGGTATATCATAATGATTTTAAATCGATCACATTTCTTGAATGTACGGTGTGCGTATGTCTACTTATCTCATTCTGTTTTATGGAACTCGTAGGTGTAGGTATACATTATTCGAAGTGGTTTATTTAAAACAGAATAATCATAACCATAATCAAGGTGTTATTATAAACCGAGTTAGTAACTATTTATGTGCTGTGGTATAATACGAGATATCGAGTCTTAATTTTTTTTTTACATTTTCATGAAGTTCCTTTTTTTTTATTAGGCCAGTTATTGAAGTCTACTCGATCAACATTTTACTGCAAACAATCGAAAAAAAAAATTTTTTAAAAGATTTTAAATTCAATTGCTCAATTATTCAACTTCATTTTTTGTTTGTACCTACGTGGTAGACATAAATTTTAAATGTGATCAAAGTAGTTGGTGAATTATTACTTTTGCGGTACATCGTAATGACTTTAAATCGATCTTATTTTTTGAATATACGGTGTGCATATGTCCAGTGCAACTTATTCTATTTTATGGAACTCGTAAGAATCCAAAGTTTAAAGAGTGCTAAGTCTTCATGTCGTTCTTCGTTATTTTCAATCATTTATGTTTATCGTGTTCAGGTTTTTGTCTTGTGATCTTCAAATATCTTGTAAATAAGTTGTAAAGATCTTCTGAAATCACCTATGACTGCGAAATTTCAAAATTAAATTATCAAAAAAACAATTCTTTAAAAACATGGTTTTTGACAACACTATTGCCTCTTTGTTTCCCTGAATAAAGTTTGAATGAGTCCCACGAACGAACTCTGAAAAGCGCCACATAAAGTTGTCCGTGACTAATACATCCTTTCTGGAGATCAATTACTATCCTATCAAATGTTTGTCCTTGAGATTTGTTAATCGTAACTCATTGCAAAGGCTAATTTTATTTTAAAATTGTCTTTGTTTGAACGTAAAGGGGTAGACGTTTTCGCAGTAGAGTGTTATTCGATTTATGAACACTATTTCTCCCTGTTTATCTACAGTCAATATCTCACAGCGTAACAGATTATCCCCAAGTTCCAGAACTAAAGGCCTTGTACCATTGCAAAGGCCTGCACTGATGCTTAGATTTCTAATAAGCATACAATAGAATTCGTTTTCAATCGTAAATCATGGAGCGGGAATTCGGCGGATTAAGCGAATTTAAATATTTTGGAAGAATAGCATCATTTAGATCACTATTATCACAGTTCTTGACACTATCTATACTGGTGTAGAGTTTTTCGGTCTTGACGTCCAACAGTTCGACAACTTATTCGTTTATTTCTTCGACATCAACATTTCTTGCAGAAAGTATTGCAGATTTGGTCAAGTCCCTGAATCTTCCTTCTTTTAGTATTGTTCGTCGACTTTTCGTATGAGGAGCGAGGGGGTGAAGCGAAAACCAGGGGTGACCTTAGGTGACCATTGGCGTTCAAATGTAGGGTGCCACCAGCTCACATTCCTTTCGAGTATTAGATTAAAATCGACGGACTTTACTTCTCATAGATGTTTTCAACAATATCCGAATTATCAATACATTTCTCCGACAATTTTAGATTGTCGTTAGAATCATTTAGTGTTCGTTATCGCATAAAAATGGCTCAATTTCAGCAATAAGTGCTTAATATTGGCCTTTAAGGCGGCAACCGTTCGAGATTTGTCAACATAGACTTTGGATTTTAGAATGCCCAGAGAAAAAAATCCAGTGACGTTAGGTCGGCCAATTGTGGATTCTGAAGGACGATCGTTGACATCATAAATTGCACGGAGTGCACGAAACGTTTTCCGAATAGAACATTGGTTTTGATAATGATAATAATTTTTAACAATTCCGACGCGTTGCTCAATCGTGTAGCGCTCCATAATAAAATGCAGAGACTAATTGAATACGGCTGCCAAAGATAGCACCTGTGTGACTATCGAGTTTTTCATGGGCTATTGTCAAACATCGAGCGTTACTATTGGAAAACCCTATACATACCTAGATTCTTCTATTGGACCTAGAAAAAATATTAAACCACTTCCTTGCTTTGAAAAACAAACATCTACAGAGCAATATCTAATAGCACAGCTAATAGGCATATTGTCAGAGAATTGTCACATAAGTAACAAATTCATAGTCCTTCACAAAGATGCAACCGAGGAGAACATTGAAAATGCCGAAGCAAACTTCAACGCTAATGCTTGTGATTATTGTGAGCTTTGAGATCCGCTAAAATTCAACCCTTTCCAGATTTTCCAGAATTTTTCCGACCCAATCCAGAAATTTCCATGCGTTTTCCAGACGTTTCCAGAAATTTCCAGACTTTATCCAGATTTTTCCAGACTTAGCTAGACTTTATGCAGACTTGTCAAAATTTCTCCAGACCTTATCAAGCCTTTTCCAGAGGTTTCCAGACATTTCCAGACTTTCCCAGACTTTATCCAGACTTTTCTAGACTTGGCTGGATTTTTCCAGACTTTATCCAGACTTGTCTAGATTTCTCCAGACCTAATAGAGCCTTTTCCAGACGTTTCCAGAAATTTTCTGGCTTTTCCAGACTGTATCCAAACTTATCCAGACTTTTCCAGATTTAGCTAGACTTTATCCAGACTTGTCTAGATTTCTCCAGACCTTATCCAGCCCTTTTCTGACCTCTCCGGACTTCTCCCAAACACTTTCCCGACTTCAAATACACTTTTCCAGACTTTATCCAGACTTGTCTGAATTTCTCCAGACCTTATCAAGCCTTTTCCAGACGATACCAGAAATTTCCAGGCTTTTCCAGACTTTATCCAGACTTTTCTAGACTTGGCTAGATTTTTCAGACTTTATCCAGACTTGTCTAGATTTCTCCAGACCTAATAGAGCCTTTTCCAGACGTTTCCAGAAATTTTCTGGCTCTTTTCTAGACTTTATCCAAACTTGTCTGAATGTCTCTAGACCTTATTAAGCCTTTTCCAGACGTTTCCAGAAATTTCCAGGCTTTTCCAGACTGTATCCAGATTTTTCTAGGCTTAGCTAGATTTTTCCAGACTTTATCCAGACTTGTCTAGATTTCTTCAGACCTAATAGAGCCTTTTCCAGACGTTTCTAGAAATTTTCTGGCTCTTTCCCAGACTTTATCCAAACTTATCCAGACTTTTCCAGACTTAGCAAGACTTTATCCAGACTTTATCCAGACTTATCTAGATTTCTCCAGACCTTATCCAGCCCTTTGACCTCTCCGGACTTCTCCCAAACACTTTCCCGACTTCAAATACACTTTTCCAGAACTTATCCAGACTTGTCTGAATTTCTCCAGACCTTATCCAGCCTTTTTCCGACGTTTCCAGAAATTTCCAGACTTTATCCAGACTTGGGTAGATTTTTCCAGACTTTATCCAGACTTGTCTAGATTTCTCCAGACCTAATAGAGCCTTTTCCAGACGTTTCCAGAAATTTTCTGGCTTTTCCAGACTTTATCCAAACTTATCCAAACTTTTCCAGACTTAGCTAAACTTTTTCCAGCCTTATCCAGACTTTATCCAGACTTGTCTAGATTTCTCCCGACCTTATCCAGCCCTTTCCTGACCTCTCCGGACTTCTTCCAAACACTTACCCGACTTCTATTATGTATAAGTAATTGCCTATCTATGAGTCGGCACTCAATGTATGCAAAAGCGGTAACAACCTTGAACTAACATAAACATATCGATTTTATATTCCGATTGCCTTATTTGCATAATTAAAGCGGTGACAACCTTGAACTAACATCTCGATTTTATAGTCAGATGATTTCTTGTACCGCAAACTGGCATAGATACAACGGACTAAACTGAGACATAGTGCAAAAGTATTCATTCAAACATTTAGGACTGAATTATTATTTTGTGACAAAACACCCATGTGTCTATAGAAATATTTTCAAGTGAAGGTAAGGTCCGTTTCACCAGGGTTCATACTTGACCTTGAAACTTGAAAAAAAAATGGTTGTCATAGATTAATTCATATGACACATTCAATTTTTTTAATTATTTTATTTTTCACTAAAATGAACTGATAATTTGGTAGTTCCTAAGTACATAATAATATACTCACCTCTGCATTATGGAGATCTCATTGTCAAACGTCATCATGTCCCCAGGTTGGACAAAAAATATGTAGACCATTTTGTTGTGATCGAATGTTGTGCTCAAAAAAACCCTAATACTCTAAATTTATCTGGAAAAGATAATAAAATTAGTATTAATAAAAGGTATGTTACTTTTATATGTTATTTGATAAATGATTTGTGGGTGAAATTATAGCTTGCACACTATAAGTACCCTGACATGGTAATAGTTGTCAGTGACTCATCAACCATGCCGCTAAATCGCTATTTCTAGCGACATGAGTCAGTATTGTTGTTAAACTTGGTCGCTACGTTAAATTAGGAAAAAACTCGAACCTGAGCCAAAGATTAATAAACAGGGCGCGCCACGATAATTTCCCCCCAGGTTTTTTTGAGTAAAAAATCGTTCGGACTTATCAATGCTATTTTTTTTTTGTAACTTCACCCACAAACTGAGATAGGTACCCCCAAAACTTTAAATGAAAACTGAAAAGGTGAGTCGATGGTTGATTCAATAGTATATTACGTAACGGGTCTGGAAAGTAATGGTTTTTTTTGTGGATGTGTGGACAAGATTCTAGGAAGTCTGTGAGTTAGAAAAAACACTTTCCAGGCGCTATTCGACAACCATTTGATATAAAAAATAATGAATTTGTGGTTTTACTTCATTAACAATCATGAACCACTATTTTTGTCTTCATAGGAGTAAGAAAAACAAATATGTATTGTCGAGTGTATTGTCATCTAAAAGTTGAATCAAACTCAAACTAAACCATATCCGGTCCGTTCGAGCCGACTCTTTGTTTACATTATACAAGCTCTTTTTTATGGATAATCTAAGGCCGGGATAACCCAATTCCTTAATCCTTAATTTTTGTTCTTAATTCTTAATCTTCAAAAACACCAATGTTAATTAAATTGAACTTTTTAAGAATTAAGGGTTAAGGACAAATATTAAGAATTAAGGAATTGGGTAACTCTGGCCTAAGCTACACCATTCAGCCCTTGTAGACCCAAAATTTGAATTGCAATTAAGTATTGATGGCCTTCATCTGCGAGCACTTTGAATGCAAAGCTCGGCCAAGTCCAAGAACAGTCTATTTTTAAATCTACAAGGTGTAACAGAATAACACTGACAAACGTTTAGGGGTGGTAGGGTAGGTCAACGCAAGTAATTTGACATAGGGAACATGGGGTCGCAGATGCTCTCCTAAGGAGATACTAACTTTTTAAGTCTGACGCCAGCCGGATGAACCGTATCTGGAGATATAATGCTTGTGGACGCTAAAGGTATAAGAAAGGGCGTTTATCAATAAAAAAATGCGATATGGCTTATGCATTATTTCCTTATCGTTTAGCACAGCTTTTATTCCCTTATCAGTAGGTAAAATGTTAATTAGTATAGTAGCTTTATCAGAAGATTTTTTTGGTGCTGTTTAGACTTGTTTCAAGTTGTTAACAACGTGTTCACCTATTATTAATTGAGTCTGGTGTGCAATTTTGTACTTTGTAAACCAAGCATCGTTTCTCTTTTAACGAGTTAGCGGACATGCGGCTCCTCTATGACGCCGCGAATAAAAATGGCCGAGAAGCTTGCCGTATTTATGAGCAAACTTTATCGGACAGACATACTCCACATCATAGTACTTTTGCGGCGCTGTACCGTCGGCGTCGTTTACGGGAAACTGGGTCACTTACTGTACGTAAGCCAGATAGTGGTGCTCCTCGCTCTAGAAGAACTGATAATTTTGAGGAAGAAGTGCTCCATCAAGTAACAGCCAATCCTTCCATCAGCACATGAGTCGTTGCTCATGCTCTGAATTGCGATCACATCACCGTTCATTGCATCATAAAGGAGCAGATGATTATCCTTTTAGGGTACAGTTTGCCCAATGATCCTTGCACAAGTGCACTCAGAGCCCACGATTTGCAAAGATTGTGTTATGGACGGATGAATCTTGCTTTACTAGGAATGGTATGTTCAACAGTCGAAATAGCCACATTTATGCTGAAGAACCCACACGCAATGCATGTGTATCATTTCCAACACCAATTTGCCGTTAACATATGGGCTGGCATAGTAAATAACTGCATAATTGGACCATATTTGTTGCCCCTACGCTTAAACGCTTATGTTTATCTTAGATACTTGCAACACGTCGTACCAGAGCTGCTAGAAAAAGTACCACTTGACGTACGTCGGGATATGTGGTACCAGCCCATTTTGGACTAGATTCCGGGCGTATCTTGACTTGATCTTTCCGCGACGATGGATGGGGTGAGGAGGCCCTATACACTGGCCCGCTCGATCGCCAGATATTTCTCCACTAGATTTTTCCTTGTTAGTTTACGAAACTCCTGTAAATTCGCGAGAGGAATTACTTGGCAGAATCATGGCTGCCTTTGAGCTAATTGACAACAGGGTGGAAATTCTGGGAGGAGTAAGGAGATTGATCCAAAACTGTTTCCATATCTGCATAGAGAAAGGTGGTCGTCACGTCGAGCATTTTCTGTAAATCTCGTACAATAAACAAGATTTTTTTTTTCGTTTTAGTTTCATAAGCATCTACAAGCATTTAATCTCGAAATACGGTTCATCCGGTTGGCGTAAGACTTAAAAGTTCGTATCTCCTTAGGGGTGCATCAGCGACCCCATGTTCCCGTTCCCTATGTCAAATTACTTGCATTGACCTACCCTACCACCCCTAAACGTGTGTCGGTGTTATTCTGTTCCACCCTGTATATCCCCCTCTCTGTAATGGAAATTCCCAACTTCCATCACATAAAAACCTACTATAATAAAAATATTCATCTATTAACGTTACTTCAAATTGAATGGTGATCAGTTCAAATACCTATCAATCAATGATGTGCCATCCGCATATTTGAATCTTTCAGATGTTTTTTGTCAAATTTTAAAGAAATATTACCATTTATCGATTTGGATTGACTAGACTAGAATATATTGTAACGGCCAGTGTGTCAAGAATCCTGTACAGAATTGCATAGCGGATTCGAGATTTTACGTTGATGTTCCGGAAGAAGGTCGATCGCGGTTCTTCTGGAATTTACAGGAATAAATTACGGCTATATACAGGGTGGCCAATTGAAAACGAAACAGAGGTGATTTTGGGCTCCTCAAGAGATTTAAGAAAAAACCCTCGAACCCGTCGATTTTTGATTTGAGGGGGAACCATTTTTTTGGCATTTTCACCACCTGGGGGGCAAAGCCCTGGCTGGGGTGACAAGGGCCCTCGAAATTTTAAATGGAATGAGTGGTCGAGTGATACCTTATTTTGAAGCTATTTTTATGTAGATTATAACCCCTGAGTTTCACATCGTTACTGTTTACCTAGCCATTACAGGGGCTAATTAAAGCTACAAAAACATGTTGGGATATTTTGTATTTGAAAAAATGCTTTAAAACCCAAATCAATCAAGTAAATGCTGAAAATGACCCCAGAAAAAAAAATCTAACGGGCTTAAATCTGGAGAACGTGGGGGCCACTCAATAGCTCGTGTTCTTCGAATCGATTGTCCTGGAAACGTTTGGTCCAAATATTGACAAATCATTGCAGCATAGTGGGATGGCGCACCATCTTGTTGAAATATTAGACGGTTTTCCATGTATCCGTTATCATTCTCTAGTATCTCCACCAATTCTGGATGAATCGCATCTTCTAACCACTCTGGGTACATTTCTCCTGTTAAATTTATAGGTAAAAGAGGGACCACGGTTACCCAAAATACTAGCTCAAACGCTCAAGTAATCTACATTTCCATAACGCCCTAGGACGTTATTTCGCACGTATTATACCTGGAAATACAGGGCTTCCATTTCAAAAATTGCCACCCACGCAGTGGCGTAGCCAGCCTTGTGGGGCGGAGGGGGCAAACATATAAGGGGCGCATAATTCTCTTGGGGGGGGGGGGGTTAACAAATAAATGTTTGTATGATTTTGTAATATTCGCTTATTGGGGGAAAATATTAAAGACGAAAAACCCGCCGAGGGCGCCGCCGAAGGCGAAAAATGTCCTCAAGTGTCACGTCCAAAAAAGTTTATTTTAACCATTAAAAAACATTTTTTTTTCCGGGTGCCGGGTGCCACGTCGAAAAACATTTATGTATTTTAAGCCCTACCAGTCCAGAAATAATGTGTGTACATGCCGTTAACTTCAAAAAATCTTTCCGAACGCCTTGAAAACTAGAACAAATCCAGGAAAATCCAGACGCATGACAGTTCCACCCGACCCATTAACCCATAGTTTAATAAACAAATACCACATCAATCATCAAAACAGAAACTATCACCTTTCCTCTGATTGGACTGAACCATTTGCCGACAATGCCGACTTACGATAAAGAATAAAGAGTGAAAAGGTTCATTAAATAAATAAGAAACAGCATAATTTTATTTCTTATTTTTTGCTTTTGTTTTTTAAGAGCGGTAGGGGCGCCATACGCGTGGGGGCGGGGGGGGGGGCCGTCGCCCCCCCTGCCCCCCTACTGGCTACGCCACTGCACCCACGTTATCTGCGTAAAGAGGCATATTTGCAGAAATCGCCAAAACCCGTCAACTGTATTGAAGGGGAAGGGTTTTTACGTAAAACTGGACTTCGCCCCTTCAACCCTCTAAGCCCTAGGGCTACCTTCCCAAAATTTTTGAATGAAACAGGGGGTCGAGTTAGTGTTTCATTCAAAAATTTTGGGGAGGTAGCCCTAGGGCTTAGAGGGTTGGAGGGGCGAAGTCCAGTTTTACGTGAAAAACCTTCCCCCTCAATAATTTTGTTGACGTGTTTTGGCGATTTCCGCAAATATGCCTCTTTACGCAGATAACGTGGGTGGCAAGTTTTGAAATGAAAGCCCTGTACTTCCAGGTATAATACGTGCGAAAGAACTTTCTAGGGCGTTATGGAGATGTAGATTATTTGAGTGTATGGGCTAGCATTTTTGGTAACCGTATAATAGGCCCCTCTTTTACCTATAAATTTAACAGGAGAAATGTACCTCGAGTGGTCAGAAGATGCGATTCATGCAAAATTGGAAGAGATACTAGAGAATGATAACGGATACATGGAAAACCGTCTAATACTCCAACAAGATAATGCTCC